TATTAATTTCCCCAAGCAGCAAGATACTTAAGAATGTAAAGATAACTGTAAGCCTTGATTATAAAAGATTTACTGCTATTATTAAGGATAAGCATGCCTTTAAAGATCTTGCTGGATCAAGGATGGAGCTCCTCATACACAGTACTATTAACCCTGCAGGCTCAGGTGCATGCTCTGATCCAATATATTGCTGAACACAAGCTCAGGTATTTTTTGCTGTTTTCTGCACAGCAAAATAATAAGATGCTTTTTAAAGTAAGGAGTCACCACAGTTCACATTGCTTTTCTGCACAAGCACTATTTGAAGGCAGATGAATGTTCAGGCAGCCAAGTAACACACTCTGAGTGCATCCATAGTTACGGGGAAAAGCCTTCACTCTGTGGGATCCCTCCTCATGGGGGGATGTTTGATTCATGGTCATGGAATGGCATGTGCTGAGTATTTGTACAAGAAGGTGGGAATTCAGTTTGCTGAGGCATCTTCCACCTGCTATTCCCAAAAATCATGAGCAATGGCACAACAGACACCTTTCCCCTTAATTACTCCAGCTCTTTATGAGGTTTTGTTTTCATCAGAACAACATGGCTCACTCTAGTGAGCAAGAAACCTTCCTATCTTAGGGTCCCAGTTTGGTGTTATTTACTGCCAAGTTGGGTGCTCTTGACTCTCACACCTACTCAAAATACCTGCCATGGAAACCCCAGCTGCAGAGACTGGGCTCTGCTCAGGGCCTGCATTGTATGTGTGTGCAGAAATTTGCAGTCATCTCCCAGTTGCCCAAGTGCCAATACAAGTAAAGATGATGGGTCAGGGGAAAAGAAGCAAAACAACTGCTCACAACTCTGGTGCAATATTTTCACTTACACGCCTGAAGTGTATTCCTGGCAGGTTACTGAAGGGATAACTGATGTTTGTAGTGATTTATACTGTAGTTGAGCCTTGACCAGGGTTCTCCTCCCAGCAGTACTGGCCCTGACAGAGAGGCTGTGCCTTCACCCCTATTGCCTTCTAACAAGGCAAGAAGATGACATCCAGAGAACAGAGCCAGGTGGGGATACCTGCTGACAGCACCAACTTCTCTCATCCTCTGTTAAGGGAGCTAAGTAAAGCACTTCTCTATTTCTAGACCGTCTGCTAAATGCAATCAAGACCTAGTACTACAATTAATTGTGTGCAAAGCCAAAAGTACATAGCACCTGCAATTTACTGCTGAAGGGACAAGTCACTTCCGTGATGCCAAAGGACAAACCCTTGGGAAGGTGCAGAGAGGCCACTCAGCACTTTCTTCTGCCTCCTCCAGCATCAGTAAGGTGTAATCTACTGCAACCCTCTGCAGCAGTCCCCAGGATCTTTTCACAGTTGGAGCACATCCCATTTTAGGCTTTCAAGTGCAGCTTGTATTGATTTGCCTTAACCTGTGTGCCTGAGCTCCCACAATGCAGCCCCATTGGGTTTGACTTAATTTAGACCCTGCAAAACTCCAGCCAAATTCAGGGACTGGAGGGAGAGAGAAGCTGCCCAAAGATCTGGGGACACAGGGCAATAGGGTAGGGAAGTTGTAGGGCAGTTTGTAGGGCAGACAGTTGTGCTGTTCTTCCACCTTTTATTCAGTTATTATTTCAAAATACAAAAAATCTTCACTTCCTCAGTAGTACAGGTATTGCTCCAACACCCCCTCCACCTCTTTACTCTGGCCATAGACAGATTCCTCCAGTCTCAATCACTGATCCCAGAGGTTTATTTTGTTCTGGGAAGTGCCAGGTCATGATGACCAGCTTCACTATATAGAGACAGATTTGTGTGCAGCTGTGCTTCCTTCTGAGCTTAAAGCAGAATGCAGAATGAAGTCTCACAGGAGCATTGCACTGATAATACAAAGGTGCATCAAATGGTGCTGAATGTTACAGGGGACTCAACATTACACTTGGGTGCTTCACAGAAACACAACAGGCTGTCAGAGTCAAAATTCCTGAATTAAAAAAAAACCCAAAGTACAAAACCTAAAGAAATCTCAACACCTTACAGAGCAAGAAAACCACTATTGCTATAAAAAGCATGGAGTGGACCATGTAAAAATGCCAACTCTTCTGCATTGTGTTGTTCAAGACAGAACTTGTCTTTCCCACCAAGCAAGCCCAGGCAGCTGCTGAGACCTGGCAGAGTCACAAAGTACAGGTGGAGGCTACTGACCAGCAGTGCCCACGCTGCAGGAGCCAATCCTCCAGGAAGAGCCTCACAGGGGCCTGACCCAGCTGTTCACAGAACCTGCTGAAGCTCCTGGAGCACAAAGGACTCAAATGACCCATTTCTTGGAGAGTGGACACAGTTCCCCATGCAGACAAGCCAGTCCTCAGGGCTGCCCCACCTCCTCACTGGGCTGACCCACAGGGAGGGCTGCTACTCCTGCAAGCAGAAAAGAGGGAATCTCCCTAATGTTCTCCCTAGCAAGGCAGTGAGACTGTCTTACAAAAAACATGTGTTATCATACCTTTGCTTCTCTTTACCATCTGCTGCAGTGGTTCCTGCCTGCATGTCTCTGTAGGACACTCTTCCTTTTTCCAACTGCCCCAAAGACATCATGGGGTTCACCAACCTCCTCCTCAAGACAAAATGGGCCTTAGTAAAGAGAAACCCCCTTGCTCTGCCTCTACCACAGGTGATCTGCCTTCCCTGCTGCCCTCACACCTCTGGGGGAGTACAGTCTACAAGAATTTGGGAGATCCCTGTTGCCAGAGCACAGTGGGGCTGTGTATGGCCACCAAGGGACAGTTTAATAAACAGGGAGGGTGTATATGGTCTTTGTCACAGAGGAAGATGAAGAATATCAATCCTTAATGGTGCTGGTTGGCTACTACTTGAATATTGGACACGTTTGCAGACTGCAGTGCTGCCTTTGGAAAATAAGGTAAGAGGAGAGGAGTGAGCTGTAGTGGTTTTCATGGAAATGTCCTTGTGGGTTGTGAGTGCTCAGCTTACCAAAGGTGGGTGTGCTGTGATCAGCCCTTCCCTGCTTCAGACTGCAGGAGTGCCATCACTGAAGCTACCAAATACAAACCCAGTACCCCAAGTGTAACTTATAATTCGTGTAACTCTGCCAAGTACATGCTTAGTCTTTAAAAAAAAATCTAAAGAAAATATACTCTTGGAGCTTGTGAAGCTATTGTGAACTTTTATCCTGCTGCTTGTTGTGAAGCCTTGGTGCTCAGTGGTACAGCAACTTAAACATGACATTGTTCCAGGTGACAATCTAAAGAAACTATGGGAATTGCTGGAATAAGGTCAAAAGTAGTTGGACTTAAATAGTTCTGTCTGCATCAGTTGTTTACTGTGCCTCCAAACAGCTTAAAGGTTTTATATGGGAGCTTTTTTCCAGTGTGGCTGCCCTGGCTTGCGCCTCCATCCTTGGCATTAACTGCTCCTTCTTTCAGTTGTGAGTAGTTCCTCAACTACCTTGAAGTCTTACTTTTTGTAAAATTTGTTTTGGTTTGCATGCTGCTATGTTGCCCCAGCCATTACTTTGTCCTGTGATCTGTAAACTTCTTGTTCTTTGATGACAGTAGTTGAGAGCCTGGTGTAAGAACAGATGAGTTAGAGGGGAGGAAGGTGAGAGAACTGACTCTGAGCACTTGAACTGCTACAGGAAAGCTGTGGCTCTAATGCAGGCTGATGCAGCCTTCCCCTCGAGTCAGGCTGAAAAGGCAGGGGAAGCTTCAACAACGAGGTGGAGAGGGATGTGTTTCTGAAAGATGAATCTTGCTAGTCTTGTTCTACACAGGTTTCTCTGAAGTAATTCCTTGTGGTTTGAAATTGAAAAGTGCTTTACCTTAAAACCAATAATTACTCTGTGATTGTCCTGTGAGATGTGGCAAAGGAGAAAATAGCATATAAAATCAAGTACTGCAGTTATCCTTTCAGAGTCTGCATGTTAACTGCACAGAGCTGCCTGTGCAGGAGGAGTGGGATAAGCAATACTGCTGTGCAGGCTGGTAATCCTCCCCGAGGCACCAGTTTGTCTTAAAAGCACTGTGACAAATAATCTAATGAATTGCAGTGATGAAATTTCTCCTAGGTAGATAATAATAGGCAATAAGTGCCTAAATACTTGTGAACCAGTTAGAATAAAACTAATTACTCTATTAGTATACCTCATAGGTATATTAAAATCTGCCAAACATCATTATGAGGGAGCATGTGGTAACAACATGAAACTGATACAATATTCAACAGCAGCACTGTGGGAGCTGAAATCCCTCTCCTTCCATGGAGGATGTCAATAAGAACAGAAGTTTGGTTTAGGTGCATTCCACCTGACTGCTTGTTCCTGAAAATAAACATCTGTAATCTGTCATACTGTTCAGAGGGAAAAGAAGACAGCAATAAGATACGTCACTCAATTTTTAAAGGCTCTGAGACAAGTGGTTCGTGACAGTTTTTTCCATTGCCCATTAGATGACATAGGGGATATATCCTGCAAAATGTCTTCTGTCTGACTAATCTTTTAAGGCTGTAATTTGGCTCGCCTTGAATGTCGCATTCCAGGAGTTTTAAAGGGAAAACGATGGTGGCACTAAGGGATGCGGCTCTTGGGCAGGGACGGGACTCGGGCAGCTCCGGCTGTCGGGGGTGCCGTGTCTCCCGGCAGCGGGTGGGCCAAGCGCTGCTGCGCCAGGGATGGCATCATGGATCCCACCCGGGAGCCCGCGCCGCTCCCTGAGCGCGGGGCGGGCAGCGGAGCGCACTGGGGCCGGCTTCGCTGCCCCGGCACAGAGAGGGTCCAGCACCCCCCCGGGGCAGAAGAGACGCTTTTAAGGACCGCACTTCCAAAAGCACAGGCGGCTGCGGCGATCGGCAGCCCCCGTCCCCCTCCCCTCGGCGGCGGCTCCCCCGCGCCGCGGCCGCCCGCCGGCACCCCCGCCCCGCGCTGCGGAGCGGCGTCCCCCGCCCGCGGCAGGAGCAACCCGGCTCGGGGCGGAGCGGGGGATTCGCCGGGCCCGGTTACCTGTAGGAGGTGGTGTGGCCGCCGTCCGCCTGCGAGCGCGGCCGGAGCTGCTCGAGGCCGTCGACCGCCGGTCTCCCGCCGCCGCCGGGCAGGGCGCAGGCGGCGCGTCCCGGGGCGGGCTGGGGGGCGGCCCCGTCCCTCCCGCCGCCGCCGCCGCCGCCGCGGGCGAGCGCTGCCCCGCGGAGGGGGCCCGCCGCGCTGGGCCGGCCCGTCCTCCTGCTCCTCGATGTCCGAGTAGTTGTGGATGGTGAGCGGCACGGAGAGGTCGGACTTGTCCAGCTGGCTCCAGAAGCGGGCCAAGCAGCACACCCGGCTGATGCAGGGCCAGGCCATGGCCGCGGCCCCCACCTCGCCCGCAGCGGCACCCGCGGCTCCGGCGCCCGCAGCCGGCCGCGCTCCCGGCTTCAGCCCTCATCGGCGGCAGCCCCTCCTCCCGCCGCCCCCTTCCCCGGTAACGACACCCCCTCGCCGGGATTACGGCCCGCACACGTGACCCGGCTGCCGGCGGGAGCCCCGTGCAGCTGCGGGGGCTGGCGGCCGTGCGAGCGCGGCCGGGACCGGACCCCGCCGGGCTGCGCCCCCCGTCTGCCTCCGGGGGGACCGGCTCTGCCCGTGCTTCTCCGGGTCCCGCTGTCTGTCTGTGCTTTAGGAGCCGCTCTGTGCCCGGAGCGCGCCCAGTGACGGGCACCGGCCAGGCGGGGAACGCTGCTCCGCGCTAGCTGGGTGGTGCTGCTCAATTGTACCTTCGAGGCAACCGTAAACATTTAGGATTAGAGAAAGCGTTTGGATGCGAAACCTGGCGCCTATAAAATAAGAGATCTGGGTGAGAAACAGCAGCATTGCGATGTGGTTTCCAAGAGCTTCATACGAATCCCCACCTCTCATAATCCCCTTCCATTTACATTAACAGTTCAACCAATTCACTTTTAAAATACTAACTATTGACCAAAATCCAAGCATCTATTATATATCTCAACACAGAGCCTACATCCTTTACTGTTCACTGGAGACTGCAAATTACAGCTTTCCTTTTATACATTCAGGTTCAAAACTAAACAGCCCTGGCACAAACCATTGACACTGACAGAATTACATCAGGAATAAAATCAGGCTTTTGAAATTTGACATTTTATGGCCGGTAGCCACTTATTACATAATGCTCCTCCACAATTCCCCATTCAGTGGGTTACTACCAAAGCTGAATCTCCCAAAGGGTCACCAAACTGTGAAATGCAAGGCTGTAAATGTGAAGAATTCAGATAAACTGATATGCCACCTATTGGAAAATCTATTAAAAGGCTAACAGGATAGGCATTTCATTTCAGAATATAATAATCCAGTTGCAGGTGGTTATCTGATAAGTGAGGGGTAATAGCTTTACACTGAAAGAGGGCAGGCTTAGATTAAATAGTGAAATAATTTTTTTCTAATGAAGGTGGTTCAGGTGGAACAGGTTGCCTGGAGAATCTGTGGATTCTCCATCCCTGGAAGTGTCCAAGTCCAGGTTGGATGGGCTTGGAGCAACCTGGGATAGTGGAAGGTGTCCCTGCCCATGGCAGTGGGGTAGAACGAGATGATCAAGGTCCCTTCCAACCCAACACACACCATTCTGTGAAACTTTATTAAGAAATTAATTATGCAATGGAGGCTGAGAAGGTAAGATTTATTGCTTTGTTTCAGCTAAGCAGTTTCTATCTTAGTGTATCAGCACCTCACTTCAGTCCAGATTTACACCTGCTCCTGGGGTGAAGGAGGACTAGAAATGTGCATATGGACAGGGCCAGAACCTCTCTAGAACACAATCGTGGGACAAAAAGAAATTCCTTTGCAGATGATCCTGCTGTCCTAAATATCTGATTTAGCACTTGCCCCTGCTGCTACCAGTTTTGATTTCACCATCCCCCCGCTCACATGTCAGCTGGGGCAAGGAGACTCAGAAATGTCAAGCAAAAACATTTTGATCCCAACACAGAACTCTTGTCACAATACTATACAGGCTGTTGGATGCTGTGTTTCATTTGCTGTCTGAAAACTTCACAAATGTAATTCTGCTTTTAGGAATATCCAGGGAGATATTTATTAATTTTCTCCTCTTCTTGGTTTTCTGGAACTGCTCTATTCTAAATTGTAATTTTTAAAAATAAATAATATCTGGTAAAGAGGAACAGACTTTACAGCCATGGGAGAAAACAGAAGATCTGCTTTATCACTGGCACAGTACAAATGATGCTCTGATCCTTTTTCCTAGGCCTGACTTAGCAAAATAGATTGGCGAATAAATCGGATGTCTCTGCTCATCCTGTGCCTGACGCTTCCTAGTACTGAGTTCAGCTCTGGCACTGCATGTCTCTGAGCCCACCTACAGCACCAGGGAGTGCTTTGAGCAGCTGCTCATCACAGCTTGTAGGATGAAATTGGCACAAAGGCTAACTCTGACAGGAAAACCAGAAGATGCTGGATGAGATTAAAAAGTTGTCTGCATTTAGAAGATTTGTCATGATTAAAAGCTTGGGGGGAGGAGGGGTGGAATACTGCAACACTAAGACAAAAGCCATCAAATCAGAAAGCAAAACAGCTCTTGCTGCCAGGAATGGGGGCTGAAAGCTCCAACAGTTTTAACACTAAAATGAAATTCCAATAGAGCAGATCCCTGAAACAAATTATTCCTTAAACGTGGCAAGGCCAAAGCAAACTTTAAAGCCACTGAAAAAGGATGAAGAATTGTGTCTCTACATGATTAACCACAACTTTATACTTACTGCTGTTTTCCTACACAAACACTAGCTGTTGTCTCTGCCAAATGTCCACATAATCACCACATTGTATTTTTATTCACAATAATCTCTTTGAAAAGGGAGGGGAAAGTCTTTCCATGTGGTTGGTTTTGGTTTAGGTGATTGGTTCTTTTTGTTGTTTTTTTCTACGTTTGGATTTTCGGCTTTTTCTGTCATTCTAATTTTTTTTTTAGTCAAAGGTGTGACTAAATGCTGAGATACTGACATGTGCTGATGCCACATTTTGCAAGAAGTGCATATTTGCTTCCCAGAAAGGTATCTTATGTACTCTAGTGAGCTGTTGTAACTTTAGGACATTTCTTATCTCGGTCATTTGACAATTGTTTTCCTTGCAGTTTTAAAGTCATTTTGGACAGAAAAGAGAGTTTGTCTTTCCCAGACAATGCTGCAGAAAGGCTCAGGTGCACAATGACATGAAACCCAATGCTTAGCCACTGCTTGGTGAAGATTTTTGTACAACCTTACATATGGTACACACCTCTAGGGCCTCTATAAATGAGGAAAATTGAGATACTGAACACCTTTTTAAGGGCAAATGCTCTTATGCCTAAAGTTAAGGTGAAGCTTAGGCATGAGACCCTCAAACCACAGCCACTGGCTGGAAAGCTGGTACTTCCAAACCTCTGTGGCAGTTCCAGGATGTTTTTTTCAGGTGCTTTGAGTCCCTTCCTGCAAGCTGAAAGAGTAAAAACATGCTGCAGGGAGTGGGACTTCATTCTCTGCAGATGGCACAGGGCCAGGAGGTACTGGTGCTATGTTGAAGAACTTAATTGCAACTTCTCTTATCCTACTAGACCTGTCAGATATAATGTTCTTAAGGTTTAATACACTCTATTTCCTGCAGCATTACTCCCTACTGCTTTCAGCCAGGATCTCTGACAAACTCTCAGCACACAGATAACTGTTGAAGAGAGTAGGCAAGTTGTTGAGTGGACAAGAGGTAACACAAGGAAGAGAAACAGGGAGAAAAAAGGAGTGGACAAACACAATAGATGCAAACCCAGAACGTGAAGTAGTCTGAGGTATGGCTTTTGAGCTTCTCTGTTCAGAGGCCATCATCTGCTGCTGCTGCTGGCTTCTCCGTGGCTGTGCTGTGCTCTCACCGTGTGCTTGGCTGCCCTCTCTCTGCTGCAGCCAGGGCTGCACTGTGGCCCAAGCTCTGGGAACGGTCATGCTTGGCCACAAAACCACAGCACACAGCAGGAAAGGGGCTTAAGGGATAGACTGGAAAGCCAGAAAACTTCAGAAAAGCAAAGGAATATTAGATGCTTCAGCTCCTTCATTTTTAAGCATTTATGTCGCCAGGCACATGAAGTTACAAATCCTCAAGTGCCTCATTTTTCTAATGAAGAAAAAAAATTAAACAAGCACTGGCCTGAGACAAGGAGTTTACACCAATTTTGTACTCCACCATTTATTAAAACTGGTGACACTTAGCATTATGCAGTCCCTTTCCCCAGATAAAATTTATTTTATGTGAGGCACTGCTGCAAAGTAAAAACAAACTCAAATTGCTTCTTACAAATGCAGTATGTTCTTTGGCAGGTCAGTGGAAGGATTAACTCAGCTGACAGGAAAGAGTTAAGGGTTTGAACCCACCAGCTTGTGTCTGGGCAGCTTCCTCAGCCTTTTGCAATGGGTTCAGTACCATCCTTGCATGACAGGCACAAAGTAGCAGCACACCCCAAATCCAGTTTTTACTTGTAAAATAGGAACATCAGTCAGGGTACTACCCTCAGGCTTACTTTAGTAGTTACTTCTGTTTACAGTGTTGCTGATCTCAGGCACCTCATCTATTTTTGCTGAAACTGCTTATTTTCTAAAACTGGCAGATTCTGAACCAGATGTTACAGGTTTAGAATTCTTAGAAAAACCTTAAAGAAAAGTAACAATACAGCACAGCTTAAAGAATACTCCTCTACCCCACCCCCAAAACAATGTAGTGAAACAATAGAAAGGAGTGCAACTCATGGTAGAATATTAAAAACCACAGCATGTGATTCTTCCCCTGCACATAATTACGAAAAGAATATATCATTGTAGTAAGATCTAAAAGCTTGTTGGAACTCAACAGAAATGAAAACCACAAGTTGGATAAGCCACAGGTGACAAAGCTGGACCATTAAACCAGTACATAAGCCTTGGCAAACATGCCAGTATTTCAAGTTTCACGTATTTCAAGTTTCAAATCAAACCATTGCCTCACTTCATCCAATAATTTCAACAATAAAAACCACTGAACTTCACCATATTACCCTTATTTGAGTCCCACTTTCCCTTCTAGAAAAGCACCTTGTATTGTCTGGCAGACATCAGGAGTGTGTGTGATCCATCAACTTCCTCAGTTCTGAAAATGTTTATCTTCCTAAGCATTAACCAGTTGCACTCCATTTTTTAAAACAGAGATTTAGGTCACTTAATTGAAAAACATGTTTTATTCCGCCTTTAAAAAGGTAATGCAGACTGTTACCTCAGAAAGCAATAGAATAAAAACCTTTATTGTTCCACCTTTGTCAGAGTTCATTTTCTATGGATATGAATTTTTGTAACATAATTTTGTTACATCGGAAACTTCAGCTCCTTAGAGGCTTCATGTGGAGTAGCAAAAAAACCTTCAAAACCAATTCAATCTCACGTCTTCAAGTAAGATACCACTTGGGCACAAGGAATCTCTAGGATTAGAATCAGTTAGATCTTCCACCTCCTCCCTTTCCTGTGTTCTTTGTCCTCATTTCATGCCAAGCTTTCACCAGTGGCTCTCTGTTCTTCCATATGAGCTCGTGGCCATAAGTCACGTACCACCTGAGAAAGAAAGAGAAAGTCAAAGTTAACTGTGGCTTCCCTCTGCACATGAGGGAAAACAGGCTG